TTTACGAGTGGAGCGGTCGTGCACGTGCATGCTTATAAACTGAAATAACTCTAATTCCGTGGCAAATTGACCAAATCAAGAAAGCTTTTTTTTGTTAGAATACCATTCTTGAACACTTTCACCGAAGGAGACACACGGAGAGTTTTGATAAGCGAGGAACAAGACATCGAAAAATGTTGAAATTCAGCTTTTCATCTGGAACCTAAGTCGAACTGTAGTTCTTCTCTTCCTCATAGCAAATTACACTGAGCTTATCGATGATGGAACTTTTCTCTCGATGAGTCTGATAGACTGCGCAATGATAGTCATTCTAACATATGAATTAAGCTCGTGCTAAGAGAGTACGCATATGAATTGGAGGGTGAGGTGCACGGCAGTACAACACTACTGCCATACATGGAAACAATCATAAAACATTTTCACAATACATAACAGATTAGCCGAACAAATAACTGAGAGCAAGCAATCAAACAAGTAAAAACAAAAAATCAAACAACTTTTATCAATACTGTTTTTTGATCACACTGATTGTACGCCGTATCCAATGAGTGTAAGAGAGATGAGATGATCAGAGTTGGTCATTTATTTGAGGAGCATGAACTCTGTCGAATGTCTGTTGGAGTACAACTCACTACTCAATTGGAGTAAGCCGAGTTGATTATTATTCTTCTGTAGTCATGATCACTCATTCTGCTTTCTTGGAGCTTCAACCTGAATTTCAAACTGCAAAAGAGGAAATTTGGAAATAAATAATAAAACCAAAATACATTTTATCTTTACATCATATATGAAGATGTCAAGAAATAAAATTAATGAACGATCTTCAAAAACGACTCTTTGAAACATGGGTTGATGTTCGAGTCAAGGACACTGTGAAGGAAAGTAGAGCACAGGGTGTAAATGGTCTTCGAATAACTGAAAAAAAAGATTGGAGAGAGATATGCGATGAGCAACAGATGATGAAGTAGCTATAGGATGAGAGCTTCAACTATTGAAGGTAAGTGAGGAAGCAGTCAAGGTGGATGGAGAACTGTGCAGCTGATACAACTTGAGGGAGTAGTTCCTTCCTGGAAAAGGCTGGATGGAGGAGGGATAGTACTTAACTCATCTATATATTAATTCATTTTTTTATATTGTTTATCTAATATACAAATAGAACAATGACGTTAACCTTTGAAATTGATGGTATCATGATCGACCTACATTTCATAACTGTTGATAAGAAGAAGATTGACCTGGCTAGCAATCTGTTATAAAGGCCAAGTTGGTCAAGAAAATTGTCATTTTATGCTTTTCTTCTCTCATCTACGCTTCATACATCTTCATGCTCTAACTATAACATATAATAGACTGTTTTTAGAAAATGCTTCGTCAGTTGGCTGTTATAGCTGTCGTTGCTGCTGTTGTTTTATGTAAAAAGACACCCAATGATAAGCTCAAGCAATGCTGTAGCACCTTGAAGGATGCAGATAAAGATTGTGTTGATAGATTCTGTGACTTCAATGCCATCTCTCAAACTAACGTAAGCTAACAGATGTATGATACATTGATTTATACATCGTTTTCAGATCTTGAACTATCTTAGTACTTGCTCTGAGAAGCCAAATACTGTCGGACCAATGTGGGATTGCGCTTCTCTCCGTCATGATCACACACAATGCTGTACTGTAAGAAGAACCTGTTAAGAACATCTAGTACTATTGATATGTTTAGGACAAGAAGGTCAACCCCGAATGTATGCCATACTGTGCTGCTCAAGAAGGAGTTCCAACCAACTACTTGGACTACCTCACCTGCGTCGAAGACTTCAACAGCATCCGTGACTGCTTCCATGAGCATTTGGAGAAGAACGAGCCATTCAGCAAGAGCGGTTAAGAATCTAATGACTTCATTATATAATAATTTATGTGACAATACCCATAACGACATCCTTTGTCAATGTATAGCCTTAATAAAGAAAATTAAAGTATTATATTCAATTAGATGACGTCATTGAATCATACACGACCCTCATGATCCTTCCCTCACAACGATCCCCTTCTTCTCCTTCTCTTCTTCTTCTTCTTCTTCATCTACATCGTTCAACAAAAGAACTTTTAAGAAGTTTATTTTGCTTTTACAGCCACTTATTTGCTTATTTCCATATTCGTGGTCAGAAGCTTCTAAAATCTTTTTGTTTGTGGATGAAATTAGAGGGTTGGACGATCTCTGTTAATCCTCAAAACAATCATGTATATATAGTGCATCGAAGTTTCTCCTTCTCATATCCAATTGAAAGAAGAGAACCATGAGGTGAATATCTCCCTCCCTTTCTTCACCATCACTTACTAATATATCAATCATTCAGATTTTTAATATTATGTTTGACTTCACTTATAAGCATCCAAACAACCTTCTCATATACACCTCCTAACATGGGTGGTACTGTTGGATGTGTTGTTACGGTAAGT